TGATCATGTATTGTATTACATTATATTTCTGGAAAATTTAAGGGGTAGTTATATAATAATTTTAGACGATCTCAGGCGGTCAGATACTTATGACTGCTACTGTATTACTTCAGCATTTTTACTTACATCTATTAATAAAAAGCTTGAAGAATATTTACCTTCTGCTATATTAGATCTTCAAAGAGATGAAATTCGACAATATGTTTTTTATAAAGCTTTACAAGTCAGTTAAGATGAAATTAATGAATTCAATGAAGTATTTGCAGTTTATTATTTTCAATGTCATATGCATTCATATAATAATAATATAATAAATGCGTTACTTATATTTATAGTATAATCTTTTGCCTACTTAATATTCTGAAGATATATTAGATACACGTTAAATTACTGCAGCTTTCATGATCTCTAATGTTAATAAAGATCAAATTGTATCTATATGAAGCATTATTGTTAAAAATAAACTTACAAAAAAGTATTTTATTATTTTATTAGCTAATAGATCATATTATTATTTTTATTTATCTCTTATTAATAGAGGAATTATCTGCAGATATTATTTTCAAGTAATGCTTTATACTTCTAATGCAAAGTTTTATATTAGGCTTATTTTTTTCTGATAGTATCACAAAAATAAGGATTCAAATAAAGAACTATTTCTTGTTTCTAGTAAATTTGAAATTGAAGCAGCACCTATAGTTTTACAACATAATATTTTATTTTTGATAGCAATCCATTAAACAGAACTATAAGATTTTATTACTCAGCATAAATGTGTTCTGATATACAACTCTATGATAAAATTGCTGTTTAGTTCATGAGGTCATTATAAAAACTGTAAAAAAATGAGACCTTAATATAATCAATCTTTTTGAAAATTATTTAAAGGATGATAAACTAGAAAATGAGTCAAATATAGATGATGATGAAAAAAACAAAAAAAAATAATTTTTTTAACATTAGCAATTCTAATAAAAAAAATAGATCTAAAGACTGACCTAAAGGTACAAAAAGAATTAAGGTAAGTTATGAAATAAAAGTACCAGCAAGTTCAGGTAATAAACAGTATAAGTGTAATCACTGTAGTGATATTGGTCATAATAAATGGAATTGTAAAAATAATGCTATATCTAATGTATAATGAATTTAATTAATTAACTATTATTATCTAATAAAGCATTTAAAACATTTATATTCAACAAGTACTTTTTACATTTGTATTTAAAAAAAAAAAAATTTATTAAATTTTGACTGAAAATTTGTGATGCAGTAATGATGTGAAATTTCACAGATGCAATAAAAAATAAACCCTTAAAAATTACTTCAATTTACCTAGTTAATATAAAATAATCAAATTTTAAAATACAAAATTTTTTAAACTTATATCATGTAATATAACATATGATATATAATTAAAAAGAAATTTTATCACCAGTTAAATTAAAAATTTTGTTAAAATATAATAGTATTATTATTATATAAAGTAATTATAATTTACTTATAAAAATAATCTTTTTATTTTATTTTATTTTTTTTTAATATATTTTTAAAAAATATAAAAAAGTTATTTTTATTAAAGTAATTATAAGAAAATACAGTTAATATTTTTTACTTTTAAATGTTAAAAAGTTATGAAAAATATAGAAATTATTTTTATAGAATAAAAATCTGTTACAAAAAAGTATTAACTCTTACTTTAAGACAGTATTAAAAAATTGAACAATTTTAGACAATTTTGAACAGGTTATGAATACATTTTTCTATGTTTAAAACCTTATCCAAAATATTTAAAATCAAAAAATGTGTTCAAACCTAACACTGCTTTAAGGTATTTACCTATTATAAACTTACCTATTAACTACTACTTACTTTACTTTAATTAACAAATATTCTATTAAAAATTATATAAATTTAAATATATATAAATTTAAAAATATAATATTTATATTATTTTTTATATTAATAAAAATATATTTTATATTATCATATAAATATTAAAAAACTTAATATAAAAATCCAACTCCTTATCCTTAACAGTCCTATAAAATGTGCTATATATGATTTGTTAGGCATTAAATTAAATATTAGAAATTATTTATTTTGTTATATTACATCATTTTGATATCTAATCATTGTAAAATGTCTATTATTTTTATATACACAGAATCAAAAAAGAAAAATAAGAATATTGTTTTTAATTTATATATTACATTAACAACGAAGAATAATAAATTAAAGATATACTAAGTTTATTCAGCAGCACCCTTTCCTAAACCAGTTTGTACCCCATTTTGATTATAATCAATTTCAGTAACAAAATCACCAATAGCGACCAAGATCGTAGAGGTAATATCAGTTTTTAACTTTCCCGCCAAAGAATCAAACAGGCTCTTAATAGCCGCTCCACTAATCTTTAAATTTAGATCAAAATCTTTTGTCGTAACGGTTTGTTTGGACGGGATGACCACAGGATCCGCGCTTAAGTCTTGATCAATGACACCGATTAATTCACCTTTTACGCTTATGCTTGATTGAATTTTCAAAAATTTAATAGTGGCATCTAATGGATTAAACGCATCAATTGAAGCAGTTCCTTTTGAATCGAATACTGTGTTAAATCCGATGGCAAATCTCGCTTCTTCTATTATAGGCTTTTCAGTTTTCAATCCAGGCATCGAAGTTGTTAATTCCAAAGCTGCCAATGCTTTTTGTAATGGAGCAATGGTGGTTGATTGAGTGGACCCTTTAATCGCAACCGTATTTGGTTTTCCAACCATGAAATTGTTAAGTAATTCACGACCAGCCTTAGTGGCTTCTTCACCTTGTGGACCGAATTGGGCAATAACCTTTGCATTATTTTCACCACGTTCCAACACAAACTTTTCCATCACTACTTTACCAATGAGTTGCTCTTGAAATAATAAGTCAAATATAACATCACCTCCCATATCAATCTTGACATTTGATGGATTAAATAATGAAACAGATAATTCGATCAACATATTTTCTGCAGTTCCACCCTTAACAACAAGGGAATTAACGACGGCAGGTTTCGTTTTTAATCCTTGAATTCCGGCCAATGTGGATTGCACTTCAAATTCGATTCCCTTAATCTCCACATCACCGACGGGAGTTTTCGCAATTGAATTCGCAACACCTTTCATTTTAACGGTAACGCTTGATTCTAAAGTTAAACTTTTGCTGAATTCATCAAATGTTTCTTCAGAACCACTAGAAACTTTGAAAGGGATAGGATCAAAACTTGTTTCGATCTTTCCTGACTTTGAATCTCCCTTTGCAGCCGTGAAAGGTGATCCCAAACTGGCTAACTCCTTATCACCATCAAACATTGTGATCTCTTGAGAAATTTGTTTCATTTCCAATGGAAATCCAAATGGAATGCTAAACCCTGCCGTAAGCGAAGAAGAACTTGCCAAAGGGGTATATTGATTTTCGGCGTTGAATTGTAAATCCAATGCATTAATATCGACGCTACTGATAATATTCAAGTTTTTTCCTCCTTCTAACACAACCGACAATTTAGTTCCTTCAAAAGCGGATTGAAGCCAACTTATCGGTTCACTTCCATTACTCGGTCTAACCGATTTGGCTATCACACCAGTTGTAGCATTTTTCCCCGTAATAAATTTAGAAAATAAATCCCCAACTGCTGCTAATTTTTCAGCGTCTTTCTGAGGAATCAATCGACCTTTAAGAACAAGTTTATTTTTACCGGATGCTAACGTTATTCCCTTTGCTCCAACTTCGCCTACAATGTGACCAAGGTATTCAACATCGAAAACCAAATCTCCTAATTGAACTCCTATCGGTGAAGGATTTCCCATTGTTGAAACAATTTCAATTTCAATTCCACCGTCAGGATGTTCCGCTGGCGCGTCGAAACTATCTATCGTTACTAAAGGGAAATTTTGCATGCCTATATAAGAAGATTTAAAATTCAAACGAGTTAATTTTTTTTTTTAAAAAAAAAAAAAAAAAAACTTTTGATAATCTTACCTCCCATTGTAACGTCTTTTGATAACCTAATTCCTTGAAGACTGAGTCCAGAAGCTTTTACCGAAGCGATTCCTTCCAAATGCCACGTAAATTCACGCTCTCTCAACATAAATTTATTAAATTCAGCAAATGCGGTCTTATTTAAGACCTTGAATTTTTGTGATGACGCAATTTTTGCGCCAACAAAAGGCTGAGCGATTATAGTATCCAAAGGTAATTGTCCAATGACAAGCGACTCCCATGTGACCGTTACGCCATCAGGGACCTCAATCGTAGCTTGAAGAGGACCAGTGTTGGTTACTTCTCCCGATACACTCATCATGAAGTCATCTTCCGATAATTGAGTGAGATTACTAAAGATAAAATAAACGAGAAACACGAGGATAAGAAAAACGTAATTTATTTTCCATGATTTATCAGGATCAAACTGTTACTTACACGCTAGAAAAAGCCAATTTACTTCCGGTCACAGCTCCCTGTGCTATAGAAGGAGCTATCACATAGACTATCAATGGAATCATTATGATGGCGATAATAACTGTAACTCCACAACAAATCAAGCAGTAGGCCTTTTTTTTATTACGAAAGCGAAGGAATCCTTTGTCTCTCGGTTTATCTACTTCCAGATCCAAGTCACGCGATGGAGTTAGCTTCGTTGTTTGTGGGTACGTGGAATAATTTTTTGGAGGGGATGGAAGGGACTTGTTGGTTAAGGAGAAGTTGCGAAACAAGTTATCTTTACTTGATGAATTATCTTCACTATTTTGACTTGCTCTGCTTGCATTATTATCAGGATATTTATAAGGATAATTATAATAGGGGGATGGATTGGTTTGATGAGAAGGGGGAATATTGTCCAATCCGCCGTATGCATCGTCATCGTTTGTGTAGGGTTTGTTAACAGGAGAATGGGGGAGAGGCGGTGAATGGCGGTCAACACCATTTGTATTAACTCGAGGTGATTGTGAAAGTGAAGACATTTTTTTTTTTTATTACAATTTGTTGAGAAAGGGGGATAATCTTTCGATTTAAGTAATTAAAAAAAGGGATGAATAAGCCCGTCTAAACTAAAATCAATTTAGTTATTTATTAATGAGTGTGTTGATTATCGCTATATTAAATCCGTTTTCTCTAGAACATCATTGAAACGACCACCGGGGTAGTTTAATTTTTTACTATTAAAATCAAAAAAAAAAAAAAAAAAATCAAAAAAAATCAAAAAAAAAAATGATGATAATAATCACAAATTAAAGAAAAATAAAATCAAAGAAAAAAATATATATTTGTATATATATTTTTTCTTTTTTATTTTTTATTTTAAAAGAAAAGTAGGTCAAAATCTCGAATTTATATATTTTACTTTTAGTGTTTGACAAATTCCATATGCGGCTAGCTGCGCCAGAGCACTTATTTATTGAAATCGGGCTTTAATGCTCCTTTGTCTCCTCAATTGGGGAGAAATACTATAATGGAAATAAATAAATAAAATAAAATTTTATCAATGTTTTACAGCACGTGTCAATAAATTTATGTGAGACCGTTATCAAATTAATAATATCGTTCAGGAGGGGGGATTTTCTGACTTTTTGTATACAATGATCATGCAGTACAAAATGAAATTTTTACCAATTCCCACATGCTAGTTGAACTCTGATAATGGCAAAAAACGAAACACAATCCCATATGTGAAAAAAAAACGTCTCCTTACGTGTCTCGATGCAAAAAAACTAACAGGTTCGATTTAATCCTAAAGTTAGGAAGATACTTTATCTTGTGATCCCAATTTAATACAATAGAATAATTTCAAAAAACGTTAATCCCTCTTGAATGCTAGTTTTGGCGTCGTGATGAAACGCTATCAAAAAGAAATTATTAAGTGAAATTATTGATATTCGTTACGTGGATGCAAGTACATATGCAACATATTATCTTCGCAAAATATGATGCCCACATATGGTAATCAAGAGATCTCTTAGGTATATATAAGGTAAATGGCGTTAGACACGATTTCTCAACCGAATTTTAAATTTTTTTCGGAGAATATGGGAATTTAAGAAACGGTTGTTCTCCAATGCATTATAAAACGATCTCATGTTGCAATGTGGTCAATCAAATTAAAAGAAACGAAAATATTTAAAAGGTTAGAGTAGGAGTACACCATGGTTCATTTGCGTAATGATGATCAACTTTACTAGTTACTTTTTTCTGAAATATATCAAGTATATATGCTAAAGCTTGGCATTTTCTAACTTTGCCTAATTTTGTTAGACATCAATTTTATTGAATTATTAACGGTCGTTCTTTTAAATGATTTCTTTGTGTCATAACCTTATAGAAGGAAAATTAATGCAATCGATTGTACAACGATGTAAAAGTGATATCATTTTACAGTTCGATTAATTAGGTACATGAATTTTTTAAAAAAAAGAAAGAAACATTTTGCTTACCATTTTCGTAAAAAGAACTTACTAAACAATTGAACAATGTTCCAAGCAAATAATACTTAAACGTGCAGAGAAGGGGGCGTACTTTTTTTGCCACGTTTTATATAATACATATAAAAACCCCCCACTCGTTCAAGAATCGGCAATCCAATTTTTATTTTTTCTTTTCCTTTTTCCTTTTTTTTTTTTTTTTTTTTTTTTTTGAGATTGACAGCAGGATTGTCATCTCTTTTGCTTCGTTTTCGGGAATAAATTAGTTGATTTTTTAAATAAAAATTTCTTATACACTTTCTGATAGATTCAGAAAATTTCAACTTTAATTTTTATTAAAATCAAATATGGGAATACTTCGATCAAGTCAAAAATGGACATTGACCATTCTTATTTTATTGGTATCGATTTTGATTATCACAAATGCGAGAGCTTCGCCAATTTCCAATATAATAATGGGAAATGCAATGCAAAAACGACAAGTTAAAGAACCAGCGACTCCAAAAGATAATCCCAAGCAAGATGCGCCTAAACAAGATACTCCGAAACCGAAACAAGATGACACTCCTAAACAAGATACTCCAAAACAAGATGACACTCCGAAACAAGATGACAATCCAAAACAAGTAGATAAACCTAAGCAAGATGATACCCCGAAACAAAATGACCCTCCGAAGCAAGATGACACCCCCAAGCAAGATGATACTCCGAAACAAGATGACACTCCGAAACAAGATGACAATCCAAAACAAGTAGATAAACCTAAGCAAGATGACACTCCGAAACAAAATGACCCTCCCAAGCAAGATGAAACGCCCAAGCAAGATGACGCTCCGAAACAAGACGATACCCCGAAGCAACCCGATACCCCCAAGCAACCCAATCAAGACGATACCCCAAAGCAACCTATACAAGATTCTCCAAAACAAGATGATACCCCGAAACAAGTAGAAACACCCAAGCAAGATGACACTCCGAAACAAAATGACCCTCCAGAACAAGTAGACAACCCCAAACAAGATGAAACCCCGAAGCAAGTAGAAACCCCCAAGCAAGATGACACTCCGAAACAAGTTGAAACCCCCAAACAAGATGACACTCCGAAACAAGTTGAAAC